TCATGCTCCCATCAGTCATGAGACACACTCTCAAATTTCCTTCCTGTCAATAAGGGAGATCAGAGAAGTTGCCTAAGGACACACAGCACAAAGTGACAAGCTGAGAAAGCAAGCACGGTTAGCTACTCTCTGTGGTAAATGAGAGTCAGTCCTGACTTTCCTCTCCAATCTGCCGGCTTTCCCATCTGTGTCTCCTGTACGGCACCCTAGATGCCCAGGCATGACACCCCACGGTCAGACCACTGCATCCTGAAGGACAGGAGCAGGGAATGGTGAGTCTACATTCTACCCATCCACTCAGCCAGAGAGAGGGGCAGAGCCCTGACCCAGTGACAGATGCAGGAGGGGAGGGGAAGAAGCTAAAACCGCCCCCACACATGGTTTTTTTATCCCACAATTTTTACACTTTTGCTCTTTGCTTTTGACCTTCTGTCCCCTAAGAATCCTGGACTACAGTCTTTAGACTCCTTTAATAGGTGACTCAAAACTCGTTGCCTGCCTGCCATTCAGCCACAGAGGCCTCTTACGTACCCCACACGTACTTGTGAAGATGACTTGAGCAAACAGTTTAGCTCCCTTTATTTCTTTTTTCCATGGGGGTAAAAACCCGTTTCTTAATGTTCTTACAACAGGCGGAATTCATCTTCAAGAAGAAAATGGTCCTCAGAGTAGTCCCGAAGAGCTGATGTGGTCACATCAGCTATCTTTCGGTTTAGGCACCTGTTTCACTGAGTGCCAACTTACAGCGTGAATACTGGATGCCGGACTCGGTCCTCCTAGTTCGGATTACCTTTCACGTGCTCTTCCTGTCTCTGTTGGTAAATGGTCAGATGTTCCCGTCTCCATTTGACAATTGAGGCAATGAGAGGTTAAGTGCCTGGCCATTGGCAGCCACTGAAATAAGAGTTAGCCTTGAGTGTCCTGGCCAAATGTGAGGTTCATTTTCCCTCTTCCTTAAGGCCAAATTGCTACCTCAATAACTCCCTTTGGCCTCCAGTTCCTTGGCTGTAAAAACAGGGTCATTCCATATCTATAAAAGGTGAGTACTTTAAGAGCTGAGATTTTATTGTCTCAGAAACCAGAGTTCTTTGTGCTTAAGGCATTCAAATGCTTTAAACACTTACCCAAAACTTCGGCAGCCGTTGTCTGTCAGGATAGACTGCCTACTGGTAAACCCTGCTCTGAGACACACAGGGAAGATGTGAGTCACCCCTGACCTCCTGTGTGACTCCAGCAGACAAATCTGAAGTAGAAAACGTTTTCAGATCCAAGTCGGTTAGGTGGCAGACAGTTTTTACAAGGCCCCTCTGGCACTGCTTGAACTTCCCTCTGCATGCTTTTCTACCTGTGGCCTCTCTAGTAGTTTTAATTATCATCACCATTAGAAATAATAGTTTTCCCATCATAATGTAATTTTTTTTTGAGATCTGGTTTCACTATGTAGCCCAGGCTGGCCTCCTGAGTGCTAGCATTAAAGGCATGAGCCACTCCGTCATATAATAAGTGGGAATTCTTTAGAAACGTTATTTGCAAGGGGCAGGGGAGTCGTCCAAGGATGCTCAGGTGCTCTGGATTTAGCCTTTCATGACTGGATAGAAACTGAAGAAAGGGTGAAGAAATGGTGTCAACTCTTGTCCTAGATTCATGTTTAATAGGGAGACATCGCTTACTGTAAGAGCTTGCTGCTCATATAATTCTGTTTCTGAACACCAGTAAAGTTTAAAAAAAAATAATCTATGCCAGTGTTCACCAGTTCTCACCAAAAAAACAGCATTAATTTTCACCTCCATTTCCTGGTCATCATGTTTCAAAAGAGTTCTCACTGACTCTCCAGCACCGGCACAGGGCCTGGCATGTTGTCCGTGCTGGATGCATATTGGACAAGTTCATGCACCAGCTGGGACAAAGCGCGGTGTCATTCTTTAACAAGAACAAAGCCTTTTCCTCACTGGTGACTAAGGTGTCGTCAGAAAGGCGCCAGTGCCTCCGCGGCCTCACACCTCCTTGCTCTTTCTGAGAACACCATCGCTCCGAGGGCCAGGGACTGCCAAGGGTAAGAAGGACAGCTCTATCCGAACAGATTCTGTTTACAGTCACAGACGTAAGCTGACAAGAGTTGGTAAGACACCCGGTTGGTCTCACCTACAAGTCACTCAAATGCCAGCAATGATTCGTTCAGGTGTGGAAGTGGCCTGTGAATTTGCGCTCACGCATTGGAGCTAAGATCGCACGTTGAGCATGTCCTAATGTGACGCTTACTTCTAGAAGTGACCCAGTCTGTGCGTGCCTTCCCCACCTAGCACGAGCCCATCGCGCTATTTTTACAGTCAACTGGGTGAAAAGGCAGCACAGCATGAGGGAGGGAAATTGACCCCAAGTTTCTAGAAGTAATTGTGTTTCTGTCACGTTCTGTTCCAGAGTTTGGTGGGAACAAAGCGAAGTAGGTTTGCTTTTTAAAAACCTTGGTGTGTGTGGGTTTGGGGCCAGTATCACACAAAGCAGTCGCAGATCAGGAAGAGGACAAAGTCTGTTTGAATATTGTAAAAATGCCTGTGAGGCTTAATCTGCATATTTAAATGTCCATGAGAATGAAGCTTACTTTGCATATTTAAATGTCTGTGATGACAAATTTTCATATTTTAAATCATGCTTTAGCATTAAAATGTTAATCTCATCTCCATGAAAGAGGCCAAATAGTTTAATCACTAGGATCATTTTATTTAGTAGAAAACATTTAGATTTGATAAAATATACTTTTTAGACATTAAATGCCTGGTTTTATATAGCATACATGATTGTCAATTTATTCTCAACCTGTCTGGCCACTATTGGAACTTGATGTTTTATAGGCTCAACAAAGGTCATGGCCAGTACTATTGCACGAAACAACAGGAATGCATTTACCTGTTTTCCTGTTCTATACATGCTGTCAATAAAATGTTACATGGGCCAGCATTTGTTAGCTTGCTTTTACCGTGGGGAACAATAGTCTAGTCTATACTTGCTGGGCATCCTCACCCGCTTGTGAACAATGAGCTGTTGAACTGGCGAAGACATTTCTCCAACTGTTTAAAGTCATACAAAGGTCTGGGGAGCTTTAGCTTTCTATCTCTCTCAGCTTTATTTTGTGAGGAAAAAGTCGGTGTCTTTTTGATTCAGCTTCTGCCTCTCCTCGGGCTTGGATTGCATGGCCGTTTTTTTGGAAGTGTTTTGCCAGGCGCTGGAGGAGGGAGAGGAAAATGGACCTAGTCCTAGGACCATATCCTAGTACATAAATGGTACCAACCCTCTTGCCTGCTTATGCTTTGGGTCAGCTCTTCTGAATCTTTTATGTTTGGGGTTTCATTTCCCCAGGGCAGTATTATGTAAAATTGAAGACAAAAGTGAAGAATAGTGAAATACAGAGAAGAGCCCACCATAAGGAAGATGGGCTGAGCCAAGGGTAATGGCGTTCAATATTATTGGGAATTTTTGTCATTGCTACAAGAGAAATTTAGATTCATTTCAATAACTAGGAAAGTATTTCTAGTTTTCTACTCCAAACTTGCTCCTATTTGTGAATGAAAACTCTCACTGGAGAGGCATTTCTGACAATAAAGCAGAGCACTTCCCCACCTGGGCATCATTTCCAGAATTATTCTCTCGAAACATTTGGCGTGGGTAGAACTTGCTTAAAGTCATACTTTCCAGAATGACACTGCTACTCTCTAGGACGTTTTCTGGGACAGACAGTATCTGAGATTATTATTTCCTGTAATAAAAATTTTAAGATTCTAATCATCTGGCTGTGTGAAGTGGGTAAATTATGCTATAGGCTTAATTTAAATGCTTAGATTTCCCTTCTTCCTCTTTTTTTTTTTACTTTCAATAATGTGTGTTGATTAAAGTGATTGTGTTCTTAATGTGCATGGAATATATTGATACCATGTGTAGTCCTAGTATGTAAGTGGATTGATCATATCATTTTATATGGTAAAACTCCAAGAAAATGACTGTAATGTGTCAATCAATTTTGTTTTATATGAATCCTTCAGAGTTCTTCTCACTCCAACTTTTCATCCTCAAATGTACTCTCTGTTCTGTTTCAAACCCTTTTCTGTCCTCTTTAAACAACTGAGTTTTGGATGCTGTGTGTGAAATCATAATCTTCTAGCGCAGCTAAAAAATGGTACGCGACGTTTCTACCAAGGGCGTGATGATTCCTCTTCACTGAATTGTACACATTCAGAAGACAGTATTTAGGAAGTTTTATAGATCTCCCCTTTTGACAAATCAATACAGCATATTAATTCAGTACTGAAATCACATATTAGAAAAAGTATTTGCTGGTTATGTAGCCTTAGTAGGATTTCCCCCCATGCCTCGTCCACCTCCTCCTTCTATAACATGGAAATATTTTGCTCACATACATAGAATAAATTTGCCCCACCTAGGACTGCTGTGAAGAGTTAATATATAAAGTATTTAGAAGAGAGCCCTTAGTCAACGCTAATTCGTACTGCAGTTACTCATAGCATCATCACACAGGTCCTGGGGAAATGCTCAAGCATGACCTCATAGTAAAAAAATTTTCATGCATACGTAGGCTATTCTTTCTCCATGTATATTGATTCGTTAATGGTGCTTTAGAAAATAAATTGATTGCTTCGATTAGAAAGAAAATGCCACAGTTATTCTGAAACTGTGGTTAATAATGCAGCTTTTATTTGCCGAGTTCATCATAGAACCTAAGAACAAAGAACTCTCCTTACTATGCGTGCTTTAATGTGGCTGCTGGGATTGTTTGGTTAACGCACATTTTAAAGGTTTTATATATTCCGTGAGCCATGTCCTTTCTAAGAGGGAAACTGTAGGTTAAGAGCCACACTTCAGGTCCTCCTTGATTCACTGAGTGTTCGGTTTCCTTTGCGTCCTTTGGTGAGGCAGCCGTTCCGATACCGAGGACTGTAAGATACCAGGAGCTACCGTGCTTACCATTTCTCCACTGATTTGCTTTGCAGCTCGCGGTTCCCCACAATGATGAATGGACTCGATTTGCCCGGACCCTGGTGGAGATCCGCGCCAACAGGGCTGACAGCGAGGAGGAAGGCGCTGTAGAGTTAGCTGCCTAGATGTGAGACGCGCCTGCTCCCTGTGACCCCCATCCTTCCCTGCCAGAACGCAGTCTGCAGTCAAGGCCTCCGTGCTGTGTTTGGTGTCCTCTCAGTATCTATCTCTGTGGCATTTGGGGGGGCCATACTGTGTGCAGTGTTACCCCATATATTCCACACGTACCTACTCACCCAAAGTCCGCCATACATTTCTATCTTGGTGTCTCTGTCTCAAAAAACAAAAGGGGGAGGGAACCCTTTAGGGGTTTAGTTGTTGCCTTTTAACTACTTGGTAGCTGTATTTAATAGCTGGAAACCTCTGGTTGAATTTGTGCTTACATGGACTTCTGGTACAGTCCTATTAAATCCATATGAAGCCAGATATGATTGGGTGCAGATGTGGCGTGCCTCATGCTATGGTACAGGGCCAAAGACTCGAGATGTGGTGTTTTACATGGTGATTCACATTATGAATGGATTTACTACAAGAACATTGCTGCTCCTTATTTATTGTAATGTGCTGCATGGAACATATTTATTTGAAAGCATTAAAATAAACGATCTTCGAGCATGTGGGTAATGAGAGGCCTGTATTTGCTCTGCTGCTGCTGAGGTTACACTAAGTTCCAAATAACAATTACAGTATGCCAGTTCCACTGAGAACACGGAGTCTTTAGAGGTTTGCTGCAGTGAACGGAATGAATTTTAATGCCTATTATTTCTAGGTACTTTAACAATATTTCAAATATAGTTGGCCATTGATACTTACCATTCAAGCTAACACAACCTTCCACAAAAGTCTGTGATTCCAAAATATGACACAAGTATTATCAATAAAATGTTCCAAATCAGGTCTGTATCCCTGTGGGTAAGTGTTTTTTGCTTAGTGGAAAACCTGACAGGAAGTTTGCTTTGACAGGGGTTGGAGCAATGCATGAGGACCATGTCAAAGATTAAACATGACCTGTTAGGCGGCCAACCCGGTGGGCTTAAATCAAGACTCTTCATTTTGGTTTTATAAGGCTACATGTGTGTATGACTTGGTTGCTGTTGTTGTTTTTATTGTTGTTGTTCTGGTTTTAGGAGGTAGACACTCCCTTGGCTCTGTCACCAAAGCCGCCATGTTTACAAACAATGTTAAATGGGAGAAGAGGAAAGGACAGCTTGAGGTGAACAAGTGCTGTATGTTCTTGAAATGCGCGTGTTTAAATTCCCACTAGAAATTATGTTAGTTACTATTAAACTAGAGAATGCTCCTATAAACAGCTTTAATCATTCTTTTTTTTTCCAAGGGTTATTTCATTGGTAGAGAGAGCGAGAGAGAGTAAAAATCAATTATAGTTAAATCATTTTTCAAAATTGTCAACAGGATCTTGATATTTTAGGAAGAAAACTTCCATTCACACATTCTTGGTAGAGATTCCTTAAACATATGTAAATTTTTAGGATATATTTTCCTCCAAGTGCTCTATAGTACCCACATAATCAAATTCCCTTCCAAACAGAAGTTAACATTTCATAGATAAAAATGAATGTCTTCATTTATGTGTATTTAAACTCAGTGAATGGAAGTACAAAGAAAAACATCTGAAAATTCCAGCGTATTTCCTAGTTTTTTGTTTTATTTTGTTTTTGTTCTCTGGAGGTTTTTATTTTGTGGGGGCGGGTGAAGTGTCAGTCGAGACAGGGTTTCTCTGTGTGTAGCCTTGGCTGCCCTGGAACTCACTCTATAGACCAGGCTGGCCTCAAACTCCAAGATCAGTCTGCCTGTCTTCAGAGTGCCACCACTACCCGGCTACAGACTTTCTGTTTTGTTAAAGGAGAACATTCTAATTTATCTTCAGCAGTAAAGGGATTTCTCTTTAGATTATGAAAATATTTCAGTAGGTCTTTTACTTAAGCAAAGCTAAACCAAAATACCATTATGATAGTGTGAGGAGGTACAAGACAGAAAAAAGAAATCTAAAATCAATTGGAGTAAAATATCTGGTGACCTGACTTCCGCCAGGACTCATGGGGGAAGGAGAGAACTGACTCCCACGGGTTGTCTTCTGACTTCCACACTCCCACACACACACACGCATGCATAAAACAAATACATGTAAACATTTTTAAGTCTAAAAGCAATCTAGTAACAAAAATATTGGCATACACTAAGCCATCATTAAGGGTAAATCAAAAGCTCATGTGTTTTGACTGAAGAACAATTGCAGTGTTTCCATGAGAGAAACCTGTGTCACTTCTGGGAAGGCTATTGGGTGGTGCATGTTAAAGTCTCTGATTAATCCCCAGAGATGGCCAGCTTCTGTCCATCCTCACAACTTGGCCCTCCGACTCTGTGATGAGTGTGTATTGATTTCTTGTAACTGATAGAATGGGGGACATTGTGAAGAGAATAATACTCAGGTCTGGCTTTTGCCTGACGTCTATGAGAATCTGCTGTAATCTTAAGTGCTAGGTTGGGCATGGTGGCACACATCTTTAATCTCAGCACTCAGGAGGCAGATACAGTCAGATCTCTTTGAATTTAAGGCCAGCCTGGTCTACATAGTGAGTTCCAGGCCAGGGCTATGCTGGGAGACCTTATTACAAAACAAAACAAATCTAAAACAACAACAATAGCAACCACAGGAAGTGCTGCCCAATATACAATGGGAATGTTTGGTTCAAGAAGGACTTCCTGTGTAACAGTGAACCCAATAGCTGCTTACTGCAGACGCCAAGTACGTCAGTCAGCAGTCCCAGTCCAGCCTGTCAGCCTGGAAGCTCCCGAGGGGCACTGGGAAAGAGTTTCATTGGACAGTCAAAGAAGTGGGAGTCCGTGTCTCTGCTGATCTCACACACAGCTCTGCCTCGGAGCTCTCTCTATCTAGAAGTGGAGCCATGTCTCTGCTGATCTCATAGCTCTGCCTCAGAGCTCTCTCTATCTAGGTTCCATGTTGGATGATGCTACCTACTTCGAGGGGAGGGCTTTCTTCCTCAGTTAGTCCTCTCTGGGAACACCGTTATAGGCACTCCCAGAGATGTGCTCCCTAGGTGATTCTATCTTATTGAGTGACAACAGACTACCACATGCACCACCGGCAATATGAGGCTAGGAAATGAATACAAGATGTGGTGACCCGTTACCTCAGTGAACTTGTTTGCGACCTTCAATCCTCCCTGTGGTTAGGAGCAAACTGAGATATTCCCTCCGAAAGTAAAGGAGAAACTGCTGACATTTAGAACTCTCAACACATAGAAGAAAGCCCAGCACTTGGTAGACTATTTGGGACTCTGAAGTCAACACATTCCACACCTATAATCCAAGGCTAGGGGGAAGTCAGGGATTTTGGTGGACACAGAGCGGGGGTGGACTCTGCTGTAGGTCTGGCAGTACAAGCAGCTCTAAGCTTGGGCAACACAACCACAGAAAATACGATGCACTCATCAATGGTGAGGAGAGACAGTGCGTAACTTTTGGAATAGCTTCCATTATCAATACCACATCCTATAGTAAAGAACTCTGTTGCCGTAGGATATGGACATACCATGCACTTCGCTGTCCCACTGTAAGCTGAGCTGTGTAACACTACTGGAATACAGCTGACAGACCTAGAAGCCATTTGTAATATAGAAATTGTGACCAAAAGAATTTGAGCAAGCAGCACAAGCAAGTAGCCTAGGAGCCCAATGTTACCTAACAAAATTTTATCAGTGCCTCTCCCCCATGCTGGCATATCTGGCCATATGTGGGGGTGGGGCAGGTTCTGTATGACCAGCAGAATCATGTCAGAGCCTGGTGTACATATAGGTTGGTTCAATTCATGGGAGAAAGTTAAACATGGAGGACAGCCACGTTAGAGCCATCTTCTGGAGTGACTTTGAAAGACAGTTCAGAGGAAAAGTTCCCTTTATAGATCAGAGATCTGAACTGTAAAACCAGTCATCCATAAACAGGAATGCATGGGGGCCATAGGGGGCCGTTGTACAACCCGTCATCCCCATACATGAACATATGGGGGCTATTTTCACAGTCAAACCACTTTGAGTGGGTGGTGAAAGGGCCAGGAGTGAGTCCACATGCCTACTGCCAGCCTGTTTCCAAGCTTTGTCAGTCTTTGCAGAAGCCACTACTCCTCACCTTTCACCCCCTCACCTTTCACCCCTGTTGTCGTCACTTTTCATAACAGCCAAGCAGGTGATGTTGCTCAAATGCTGACGTCATCAAAGCAGAGTGAGAAGATTTAGGCCCTTAGAATGGTCCATCCCCTGGATGATTTGACTTGGACCTTCCTTGTTAGTTCCTTTCTCCTTGCTCTGATGAAACACCTAGCCAGCGCAACCCTGGCAAAGATTTATTTTGACTCATGGTTTAAGGCACGCAGTCCATGGTGGGGAGGCATGGCAGCAGAAGTGTGACGTGACTGGTCACATTGTCTGAAGCCAGGAAACAGAGTTTACAGGAAACGGGGCAAGCTAGGCAAACCCAAGGCTAGCTCCACTACCCACCTCCTCCACAGCCTCTCCCTACACTTCAAGCTTCCGCGGCTTTCCAAAACAGTGCACCAGATGGTGAGCAAGCATCCAAACACCTGAACATCTGGGGGACTTCTCACAATCAAACCACGTTCTCTGTGGTCTTAAGCCTGTGTCTTCTAAGCTTCACCAACCCACTCAAGCTGCATGGTTTCTCCACTCCTCCATGATGTAACGAATCACAGGGCCTCTGCAGTAGAGAACCCTGAATTTATAAATCCCCATACACACATTCTGAAGTTCCACCCTTTAATTAAGGTCATTCTTCTGACTGACTGATTTTTCAATTAACTTTTTAATCTGCGAGAGCAGCAAGTCCCTCAGGGCCTAAGGTCAATATCAGTATGAAAAGCTATAGTCTAGAAGAGCAATAACAGCAAAAATAATAAAATGCACCTGCCACTCCTCATCATAGACAGAATTAAAATGAGAAAAGAACAGTTTGTATGCCTTAGTACATAAATGAAATACATAAACATTAAGGTTCTGAAGACAGGGTCTCACTATGTAGCCCCTACTTCCCTGGCCCTCAGTATGCAAAACAGGCTAGTCTCCAAGTTAGAGAGATCCAAACCCATATACCTCTGCCTCCCAGGTGCCACCATGCCTGGCTTTACTCTACATAACTCTGCCTCCCAGGTACTGCCATGCCTGGCTTTACTCATCAACTTTTAACGGCTACATTCATGATGTTAAAAGGCCAAACCTTTTTGAATCTGTCTACCTGATCCTTTTGTTTTTCCATTTTTATTTATGTATTGTTTACATAATATTATTATGTATGTAATGTATTTAGTACATTACTAAGCACACAGCTAGGTTATGTTTTCTTGATAAACATTTATCTGACATACAAGAATTGAGGCCAGGGCTTTGTACATTCAAGCACCGAGCATGGCAACCCTTGACCCTTCAACTTTCATGTCATCTGGGTCACCGCCCTCTCATTTCAGCCTTAAGGGTTTGCTCTAGTGTCCTTATTGTCAAGATGCTAGGCACGTGATATTACATTTGCTTCTGTGGCATTGCAACAGTTTCTCCTTTATCTCTGAATGATTTTTTTTTGTCAGAATGGAAATTTCATTGACAGATTTTGTTTTTCTTCCTTTCAGTACTAGAACTACCTCAGGCAAGTCTGGGGAGATGAGTCATTTGGTGAAGTGTTTAACGCCCGAGTGTGAGGAACTGAGTTTGAAGCCTCAGAACCCACGTGAAGCTGGCAACGTAGCATGTGATTCCAGTTCTCCTATGGTGAGGTAGGAAGCAGTGACAGTGGAAACCTTCTAAGGTCACAGGTCAGCTAACCTGGCAGAGAAGAGAGCTAGATTGTCCAGTGATCTCCACACACACATGACTGGAATTCACATCCACAAATGCACAAACACATGTACACATGTGCGTGCACACGCTGCATGCGCACATCTGTGCACACACACACGTTTCGTAGATGGTGGGGGGGGGGGTTCAGGATCTCTGCTACTTCCTTGACGACATTATTTATGATTGCTGTCCTAATGTTTTGATATTAGTTCCACAACTCTCTTTTTCCAGAGCAGGGTTTCCTATTAATTTTTCGTCTCGTTGTGGCGTTTTTTTTTTCTTTAAGATTTTAAAAATTATTTTATCTTGTTAAGAATAACTTTTTTATTCTGACAGTTAATACTTGGAATCGGTGAAATCCCTGTGAGGCTCACTTTCTGGGCTTTAGTAAGA